TCGCAAAGTCTTCGAGTATTCCGTCCTGAACATTATCCAAGGGGAAGCTGACCCAACAGATGTTAGTTTATTATCTGCCTATGTGTCAGAATATAAGCTTGTAATAGTAACGTTAGCATATCCACCTATTAATGAATAGGTGCATAAATCCTTGCTAAGAATTCGTGAGCGTCGATTGGCTCAATTCATTCCTTGGGGTCCCGCTAGTATTCAGGTGGCCCTGACAAAAAAATCGCCCTATGTTCAGACGTCACATCGTGTAAGCGGATTAATGTTGGCAAATCATACTAGCATTGCTTCAGTAAGTTTAATTATAATACTATTTGGATCATTTGTACAATTTTATCAAACTTATTTTGTTTGATAAATAACTAGCTTCTGAAGCGTACATGTGATCATTATGATCGATTCAGAAAACGCGGTGCTTTTCTAGAACAATATAGAAAAGAAGATATGTTTGCTGATAACTTGGATGAATTTGATGTTGCCAGGTATTATTTACATAATTATTCCAGTACGTTAACAATACTCTTTCTATACCTATATTATTCAATTGTTCACAGAGAAGTTGTACAAGATTTGATAAATGAATATGAAGCATGTGAAAGCCCGGATTATATAAATTATGTGAGTTGCTTTGCTCGCGAACATATTGTGTAAGCTCATTGGTGATATGCTATTGAATAAATCTGAATTTTATTGATTGCAGGGAGTTTCTAAATAAAATCCTATCTAAAGTTGCGACCAAACCCTTTTTTTAAATTACGGCATTACTACTTAGTTTGGGTTTGGAAATTTGGGAATTAGCGTTTTACTTAATTTTGGTTCATGACCAGAACCAAATATACTGTATATCCTTTTCGGTAAATAATGTCAAACTCAAAAACCACCGATTCATTGAATAAATATGCTTGCATTTAACTGTGTAATATTAAAACTTTAAATTTTATGATTTTTTATTAATGGATACCTTTTGTACTACTGGTAGTACGATTAAAAAAGGCGACTGATACCACCTGATCAAATTCGATGAATTTTTTTTATTAGAATTCTACAAGTATGCAGGATTCAAATAAAAAAAAAAAAATCCATCGAATTTGATCAGGTGGTTATCGAGATACCTTCAATCAAAGTTAGAGAAAATTTTGCCGCGGCTATTATTATATTTTGATAGATGTTTAGATTTTAATTGAAGGACCACCTGATCAAATTCAATGAATTTTTTTTATTAAAATTCTACAACTATGCAGAATTCAATAAAAATCAATTCATCGAATTTGGTCAGCTAGTTATCGAGATAGCTTCGGTCAAAATTTTTAAAAAAATCTAAATGTCTATCAAAATAATAGCCACGGCAAAATTTTCTCTAACTTTGATTAAAGGTATCTTGATAACCACCTGACCAAATTCGATGAATTTTTTTTTATTTTAATTCTGTATACTTGTATAATTCTAAAAAAAATTCATTGCATTTGATTAGGTGGTCATCAAGATACCTTTGATTAAAGTTTTAAAAAAAAGTAATTTACACAGAGTGGAAATATCAAAAAAAGGGTGTGGAAATATTATTTATCTAAAAAAATTGGTTTATATCTAAAAAAAATTTATATAAAAAAATCTAATAAATATAGAAATATTATATATTTAGTTAATATTTTTTAATATTATTATTAAAGTTTTTAAATTTTAATTTTTTTTAGTAAATTATTAACTTTTGTAAATTTCAATTTGTATTTTAGGCAAATTTGTTTGGAATTTTGAAAAGTATTTATAATTTTTTAAATAAAATTAAAAGTTATTAATATAGGATATACAGTCAACTCTGTTTATTCTGAACTGCCCATTCTTTGATATTTAGTTCAGTTCTCAAAAAGGTATTATATGCTAATTATAAAATTTATAAATGTCTTAGAGTTTTAGATTCGGATTAAAAAGAGTTTGGATTAGAGAGGTTCAGATTAGAGAAAGTTAACTATATACTATATATATATATATTGGCTTTTTTTTTTTTTTTTTTTTTCGGTGTTGAGGTGACCTCTTGGCCGGGGGCTTTTTATTTGATAATTAACAACGTTACAATTATGATGAGGGTACCACTAGCCACACATACAACTTTTGGTTGTCTATTTTAAGTAGTCTGCCTGAGTTCTACACTAGCTGTCATGCCTGCAA